GAGAGAGAGAGAGAGAGAGAGAGAGAGAGAGAGAGAGAGAGAGAGAGAGAGAGAGACAAATCAGGCAAACGCACCCCGCGCCAATGCGGGAGCCCCACGGGGGAGAAAAGATCGACGGTTACATGTGGAAAAATGTGACGCTACCGTAAATTGCGAGACGGCTGCGGGATATATCGCGCGGCGTGCTCGGCGGCGGCGCACGTGGAAAACAAACATTAATAGAACGACCGTTAGTCACCCCTCGTCAAGAAGTGGCGAGAGCACCCTCCTCGCGCTCGCGAGTGCTACTAATTACGTTACGATGCAGGGAGCCGAGATTGTGTCACAACAAACTTCGAAACAACGCGGCTGCAGTCGTGCGCGCGCGAGCGTGCTCGCAAGGAGGTTATAAAACTTGGAATATAAAATCTCCGTCATCTCTCCGAGTGACGGCTGCACGCGCGAACGAGCCAGACGGCGTTTCCGGCTAATTAAAGCGAAGCCCGACGCCGTGTGACGACGACTGATCGAATTCATAATTTGGCTGCGACGTGTTTCGTATTTCGCGAAGCTCGCGCGCCAAGCCGGATCTCGCGATTGTCTCGAACGCGAGACGCATGCGCGCGGGCAGATCGAGGTAGCGGTGAGATTGGAACGAGCGAGAAGAGTTTTTCAGGGTGAAGAGGCCCCGGGAACCCCGCTGGCGTAATTAACATTCGGCACGTTTGGCCGGGCCCCGACGAGCTTCTTGTCCCGGTGGGTCCCGCTGGTAGCTCCGACCAGACACTGATTAAGACATGGCCGCGGCGTGACACACCGGCGAACGTCGTCGTCGTCGTCGTCGTCGTCGGAACAGCGCGCTTCTAACCGCGCGTGTATCCTCGCGAGGATGCGACGTCCTCCCGACGGGGTCGACGACACCGATGGAAATGATCGCGCGGGGCCAATATCCCTTTGCGCACGCAACGTTGATGTTAATGGAAATCAAAGCGTGGCCAGGCGCGAAGACTCGAGTCGTTAGCGAAGTGTTGCGTTGTTTAAAATTTCATTCCGTAGTGGGAAGAGAAAAAGAGAAAAAGACGATGAAGTGATCACTTATTTCTCGAAACAGCCTCATTTCGGCTGTAAGTAGAATTGATTGTTCGACCAATGAGGAGATGTTATACCCATCTTCCTGGATTGCAACGCGCTTTCATCGTTAGGGTGCGATGACGAAGCGTCGCAGAGGGATGTTACGGTATACACAGCGCGGCAGAGCCAGTCCTCCCGTATTAATTGTACACGCTTGGACGAATAAGAAAAAGCGCGGGCGCATTTCGCTCGGCAATTTTATAAGCATTCTCGCGCCGGTATCAATCATAACCTCGGAGCGCGTCCGCGTTTTTTACCACGTTCGCCGCCAAAAAGTCCGCCATCGGCGGACGCTGGAATGGCGGGAACGGAACGCCGCGCGTCCATCTCCGGACGGCGGGCGCTCCTCGATTGACTCGTCATCCATCGACGTGCGCGAACGGATGAGAACTCGCTTTTTGCTTACATGCGCGCGCGGTCCCTCAACTAGCGTGGCTCTTGATCGCCATTCTGCATGTCGTAGTCCCCGTCGCCGTTGTCGTCGTCGTCGTGACCAGCCTCGAGAGTTAGTCCCCTAATTAAATACAGTTTTTCATTCGCGGGCTTCGAATTCGCGACGTCCCGCTGCGCAAACCGATTGCGAACTACAGCTCGACAAATAAATCAAGAACGGGAACGCGCGGGATGATGATACGGAGTCGGAAATTAGTAAAACTTACGGGGTACAGTCGTACGGGGGAACGCATATCAAAAAGGTATTTACACGTAAACTCTATTTTTCCTATTTTAGATAAAGTAGTGCAGCTTCCACATTCCACGAAAAAATGCGGCTAATTTCAGCCCCATTTTACGGCGTTCGAAATCTTCAATTATTTTTTTATAAAATTGTAGCTATTCATGAGTAGATTAAGGATATACAAGTATCAATGCGCCTTATTTGGAGAAAACGGCGTAAAATATATATATTTTGTAGAAATAAACGATATTTTGTTAGGACCCTTACAGGAAACGCATATAGGAAATGTTGCAAGGAATGGGATGGGAGTCTTTACGAATGAAATAATACATATTATAAATACTCTCTCTAATAATATATTTATATTAATTTATTATATATTATATATTATATATTATATATTAATTTAGGGTGACTTTTTCAAGCTCCGACTTGATCGTTGATTAATTCCGTTGTAACTAGCAGAATTGACAAATAGCAGTAGCTATTTGCTGGTTTCATAATTTGAATCCGCGCGCTTTTGATTGACGGGGCGACGGGGTGGCCGGAGTGATCGCGTCATTTCGGTGAGCACGTCGCCTTCTCGGAAGGCAAACACAAATCGTCGATATAATTAGTGGCGCGCGTGTCCACGCTGCCGAAACTCTCGCTAGCTCCACGACGCGTTTCTGTTACACAAGCCCAAAGGACCACTCTCGTTGTGGCGAAGGGGGATCGTGACCGTCTCGCCTTCAAGAAAAACAGCCGCAATCTGTGACGCGCGCTTGTTGACTCTAAACCCGTCACTGAATTCGACGAGGTTTTTTCTTTAATTTATTAATTATACAGGCTGACAATTTTGACTTTTGCTCTAACTCCTAGACCTGTAGATGAAGATTTTTGGCATGCTAAGATCAAATCTATTGCCCAAACTACTTTGTTACGTCAAGTTTACGAGATACTCTAATCTAAAAGTACCAAAAAGGCAATTTTTTAATTATTTTTAGGTTAGAATAAGTCTGAAACGAGAAGTGATAGGCTAATGGATTTGAACTTAACATGAAGAAATACGCGAGCGTATGGCGCGATTTGATTTCTTCATCTTCGTCATCAGGCTTCGATCCATCGCCCCCGCGAGCGGACATCGCGTGTGTTACTTACGAGGGTCGTAAATCGCGCGGCCAACGCCCCGTCGGCGCGATTCTCCGCGACGCGCCGGGATGCGCGCGTAATACCCGAAACATTCGCGCGAGCGCCTCATAGGAGAACATTAACGTTCAGTCTGGGCGATTAAATAAGTCATATTGTCGCGTCCCGCCTAACGAAGCGCCGCGGCATCCTTGTATTCGCGTCGTCCGTCGCAGTTGTCGACTGTCAAGAGCAGTTCTTTTTACCTCCTCCGCTATCCTCTTTCTCTCCCTCTTTCTTTCTTTCTCTCTCTTTAGCATCCCCTCGATTCGTTCTTTTACTCCTTTCCTCGCGCGAGATGCAGTATTTATAAGTGGGAACGGCTGTCGCGACCGCGACGAGGAGAGAAAGAGAGAGAGAGAGAGAGAGACTGGAGAGAATCACGCAGCACGCGTTCACCACGGTGGTGTTGGTGATGATACGCATGCCCCATCCTTGTCTCTTCTCCGTCGGCGAAGGAGAGAGCGAGAGGAACATTTCTCTCGCTCCTCCGTGCCTCCTCCACGACGATGCGCCTCGCCTCGTCGACGACCCTACGCCTGCCGCCGCTGTAAACTGTGGCCGCTTTGACAGACCGGCGGCTGGCGTGAAAATGCTCGCCAATTAACCAGCGGTGAATTATGCACCTCCCCCTTACTTACCCGCCAGTTTAGTAGGTGACTTACGTCGTACTTGCCAGCCGACAAGCCTCGGACGAATTCGAGCACCTCGCTGAGCGGTAAGCTCTCAGCTTCCCCTCTTCTTCTTCTTCGTCGTCGTCGTCGTCGTCGTGTCGTTCTTCTGGCGTCTGCTCCCGTCTTCTTCACCTCCTCTTCCCCCCTTCCCCACCCACTCGTTCTCTCTGTCTCCCGGGAGAATGGTGCACAAAGCGAGTACAGTGTCGCAAGCAGCCGGACATCCGGTAACTCGCAGAGATCTCTTTGAAGTCTTTGAGGACGCGAATTCGCGGGATCGTACGCCGAATGAAATATCGCGATGCCCATCGTCGTGCGTCTTTCTGTTCTCCCGTCCTCCCTTCCATCCCCCTCACTCTCCCGTGCTTCTCGTTGTCGGCAGCAACACCGGGTTGCAACACGTTGCGGATACGAGCGAGTTAAAGCGGAGAGGATTACGAATCACGGGGAAGGGAGGGGAGAATTCTACCGCAGACGGAAAATTATAGCCCGTTTTCTCGTGAGAAGCGTTCCTTCGCGAGCGGACGCGTCTCTTTCTTTGATTTCGCGAGGGTCCTCTTTCATTGTTCGTTGATTCCCGCATTGTTAAAATAATTTTTTCAATCATCAATATATAGATCAATAATAATAGAGTGGGGATTTTCATCTATTATTTGTACAAATTTGAGATTTCCATTGCGCTGTTACTGAATTTCGCGAGATGTTAATTGGAGGCGCGACATCGATTCTCCGGCGGCGCGAAATTAAATTATCATTATCGTAACTGTTGCACACACACACACGCGCGCACGCGTCCGTGTTTGCCGCGAGCGCAGATTAACAATGTCGAAGACGAGGTGGAGAGAGAAGAGAGGGAGAAAGAGAGAGAGAAAGGTCGTCGTACATTTCAATCCGCGTCATCGGCCGAAATTACTTTTGTACTCTTTGACACGGTGATAAATCTCGCGAGAAATACTTATCCAGCGCGGTCGGACGATTCGTTCGCGAGCTCTCGACGGGTAGCTGACAATACCCGGTGAGACGAGGTGGCCCTCGTAAAATTCGAATTTGTCTGCCGGTCGTTAGTCGAGAAATCCAAAACCATCTTTCGTTTACCGACTCCTACTCCCTTCTCTCTCTCCCTCCTCTCTCTCTCTCTTTCTCTCTTTCTCTTTATCTCTCTGTCTTGTTCTCGCTTCTTTTTCTCTTTCTCTCTGCCGCGCACGACGGAATAATCTACCGGCCGTAGAACAATCTATCACTCGTACAACGAAAGTTTGACGCAATGTCAAAACGCGAGCCCGTTAATTTTTCATGTCGCTTCACCCGGAACTCGTGCTGTAACTGCGTCTCCTAACCCACGCTCGTATATACACCGCCGAGCTGATCCACGTCGTCGACGCTGGTCCAGCAAGTTGTCTCGACGTTGCCATTCATTATTCAGCACCTACACCGATACGCTACCTTTCGACACGCGGGACGCACTTGCGTGACGTTACGCCGCCAAGAGACCGTTGCGCAGCTGGTCCGTTTGTATTTGTGTTATCCGATGCCATTACAGTCGAGGCATAGAAACCGTCTCTCTTCGCGAGATTGGTAGAGTCGAAATTTTACCTATGAAATACCACACGATATCTGTCTACGCGATCAGGGGAGAGGGAGGTAGGACAGCCTGAAGGAGCTCTTAGTAATGAGACGAATAAAGAAGAGTTTCACGATTTTTTTCTTTTGACGGATTTTCGTTTCACCCCAATAGTTGGGGCGCGGAAGATATTAAAGGCGCTAATTATTATTGTTCCGTTGTATATCACATTACGAAGCAGCCGTCCAACTCGCCCGGCGTATTTACGAGGCCAACTTTGTTTCAGTATCGCCTCCCGCCGATGTTTTAACTTTATCGCGGCCGAAGTATGATTTTACGAGAAGCCGTGGCGGGGCTAAATATGCCCGCGTCGTAAAATTAACGGCGTTTCCATAAAGGAATCCGGGTGCTTGCGTTAAAACTCGATAAAAGCCAATAAAGCATCGCCGCAGAGCGCAGTTTAGTCGAGTTTATCGCGTCGCCCGCCCCACCGTCCGGCCGAGAAGTCGCGCAGAGGCGAGAGTCGTCCGAGTGTGACCGCGCTTTCTCGCGGTTCACCCCGTATCCATTTGCGGTGTCCTTCTCGGATAAGACGTATGCGTATCCCGCTGCGCGAAGGCGAGTCCCGGCGCGGGAGCGCCGGTTTTACTGCGTCCTTTACGAAAATCCTCGGCGAGCGGCGACCTCGCCGTATATAATCGCGACGATTTCGGGGACGAAAAATCCCGGCGGCCTCTTCGCCGTTAAGTAAATCGCCCGTGTACACACGTGAGCACACGCGCATACACGACGTGTATGTGTGTATGCGCGCGCGCGCTCACACAGATAAACCACTGTTAATTTTTATTAACCGTGACGCGCGCGTAACGGCGCCGGTGAAGTTGCGCGTTCGCCAAAAGTTAAACGCCATAAAGTTTCGCGCGTGAGCGCGAATGAAAAACGGGAGAGAGCTGCTCGCGAAGGAAAGAACGCGCGACGCGAATAGATCGCGCATTACCGTGTACCAGCAGCGGCCAGAGGCGCGTATAACCGCTCTGATTTACGCCGCGATCGCGAACTACACTTTACTTACATCTCCTCGTGAAAATTGAAACGTTTCCCTCATCCCCCCTTCCCTCCGCGATCTCCCTCCCACCCTCCACCTCTCTTTGTCCCTCCGCGTGTATCCTGGCGGTTTCGCAGTAACGATAAATTCCTGCGGGAGGAAATTGATAAAATCGGAATAAAATGTGACAGCCGCGGTACATCGCGCATGGTAATGGGCAATATCCCGGTGTTTCTTGAGCATCGAGAGCCCTCCGCGTAATTGCCGGCAGCGGAGGGAGAGAACGAACGGACGAGTGAAAGAGGATCGTCAATTCGTCGTTATTGCAGCTCGGAAACCTATATAATGCGGCGAACGATCGTATATAACAGCGGTATGCATTCGCGGGGAGTAAGTAGCCGTTTATCGCACACGTTTACGTGCGCGCGCTATTACAAAAAACATCATTAGGGAGTCCTGTAGAGCGAGAGTAACTAGAGTCCAATAGTACCCGGCCTGGCTCAATTCTCTATAAAATATAACGCGGCAAAATGGGACTCTCTTAATCAGACTTTTCTTGTCCTCGAGAAGAAACTGACTCAGCTCGGATCTAACTTTACCAAGACGAATACAGATCAGATGTATGAACGACTGACGATGAATGAGCTGGATTTCGGGTGCTATTGGGCTTTGCATTGCGGGGCTCTGAGAGTGACCTCGTGCATCTCCTTCGTCACGATGCGTACCCCTGGCGAGCACACGCGACATAATCACCTCGGACCGCCGCATTAGTAATGGCTCGTAGCTTTATCTGCGCCGGATACTAGCTACCCATGTAAAACGCTGGCCCTCGCCTTTTACGCACCAACATTTTTGCGCACCGGTATCTTTATGGTAAGCGTAAAAGCGACTTTATCGCGCAATTTAAATGCCGTTTCGAGCGTCGGCGACGCCGCGATACCGCCCGCTACAACTTCTCTAACGTGGATCTCTCCTCATATCCGAGCTGCACGCGCCGACTAATTACCTCGGTGACTTGGATTCGCCCATTTCGCAGATCGCACCTTCGATCGTTGCTCCAAGTCGAGAAATTGTGTCGCTCGTGAGCGATACTGTGCGGCATATCCGACGCCTCATCAACGTGTTTCCGTTGTTTGTAGCAATTTTGCTCTACTCCGGGTTCTCTGGTACACGGTCTCGAAGAGGCTCCCGTTCATGGATCCCTGTCCCCACCGGTAAGAAGAAGAAGAAGAAAAGAATACGGATGGGGGCAGCGGTGGTCGCATAACTCCGAATGGTTCTAGCGGAGCGACCCGCAACCCTTTGAAGGTTTATGCCGATTCAGAAACGAGTTGATTCATGAAGACGGCGCGGACCTCCTCGGGATCCACGGCTCAGGGCACCCCAGGCCGTTGCGGGTGGTCTCGCGACTTGATTTCTTGTTTCCTCGACCGCAAGCAGAACGCGGTAGCCCCCCTTCGTGGACTGGTTCGCGAGCGGAGTCAAGATGGAGAGGGAGAAAGAGCGCTGAAGAGAAAGGTGGAGAAACGGAGAGAGGCAGATAGAGAGACCGAATGAAGCGTTCCCCGCTGTCCGCATAGCTATGGCGATTGTCGATTTAAATGTTTACTAATAACCAGGCTTGTCCAGCAACCACCCAGAAGTCGATCGCTTTACATTTTTATAAGTACACCCCGGCCGTCCCGGTTCCGAGAATGAGAACGTTTCATATTCATCCACCGATCTGAAAGGACGATCCCCTACGTCGATTCGTAGAGAGACCCTCTCTTCCTTCCTCTCTGTCTCTCTTTCTCTCTCACTCTTCCTCCGTATGCATTATCTTTGCTGAATTGCACACGATGCACGCGATTAGGCCGCGCCGACGATCGACCTGTCGTCGCGCGACTCGCTCGAGTCGGATCTACCCAGGAGTATCGAGTTGTGTTCCGACGCCGAGGGTCGAGCGCACTTATCTATATATTCTATATGTGTGCAGAAGGAAAGTTACAGAATCGACACTATGGATTGCGCTGGGTGGCGCAATTGGCGGTGTGTTGGGGATTTGCAGAAATGACAACTCACTTGCTTTCCGTAATGATTCGTTTATTGCGAAAGGACACAGTCTGCGCGCCATCCGCCGATGTGACATCAGCGAGCTCGCGTGAAATTTTGGACACGAATGACTAAAAGGTGATGGCGATCGTTCACTCTCGACATGACATGATATGTTGACAGCCGTTGTGTCCGGAGGAGGAGGGGGGGCTTCACCTGCGCGCGACCTCGCCGACTCGCGCGACCCGGGTTGTCCTCACGATCGTCTTCGAGGTCTCGACGGCCGGAAGTGAACTCTTTTCTACCATCCTTTCGTTTCTTTTTTCTTCCTTGTTTCTCTCATGTTAACGGAGCTATACCGGTCGCGGTGTGATCGGCAAGCGATGTCACGCGCGAATCGACGGAAACGCTCGACGTTTCCGTTGGGAGATCGCGATTCGGCGGCGTTTCTCGCTGCGGTAGTACGTTTCGCGCGAAAGCTCGCGGAACATGATCCTCGGAAAAGACAAAAAGAAGACAAATAAATAAGAAGGAAGGGTACTTACAAGAAGAAAGATTGAGAGAGAAAGAGAGAGAGAGAGAGAGAGAGAGAGAGAGAGAGAGAGAGAGAGAGAGAAACCAAGGGCAATGTCTTGAAAAAAATCTTTACGTTAATTCTCCGGCCGTCCCTCGCGATCCATCGCTGCGACCGAAACGACCCATACCTCGTCATGCACGACCGAGTCGACGTGAATCGATAATATTATAAACATTGCAATAACAATAATAATAATCATAATAATCATAATAATAATAATCGTCATTAATATGAATTATGTGTGATCTCAGGTATGCTAGTAATATTGTGTCTACTCTACATACAATACATACACTGGCCGGACTGTTCCTCTACTGGGCCTCTCTTCTACTATTTACAAACGCATAAATAATAATTATTATTATTATCATCGTATAGAGTTTTTTTTATATATATTTATAATATTTATACGTGAAGTAGAGTACTTGTCGAGTTGACGCTAGTTAACCGTACGGTTACACCGCGATTAGCCACCTACTAGGGGTAGTCGGTACTACGATTTTCCGTTCTCATATCGCGAATAATAAACGGAGTACAGAAAATAAACTCGGTCCGGGAGTGAAGAGGGAATATAAGGGCGGGAGGGTGAGGGGAGGGGACAGGCGGCGAGAGATGAAAGGAACATCGTGGCATATCGAGGGAGAAATGTCAAAGACTAGGAACGAGGGTGGGAGGTGGGGGTGTATCGGGGCAGTATCTCGTCGTCTCCCGTTCTATACTGTACACTAATTACAAGATCCTTGTCCTCTGATTATTGTCAGCCACACCACACGCGAAAACGCCGCGTCGTTAGTTGCACAGCGCGCGCGAGTTACGAGTACGATTACGACGTCCGTCTCTCGTGCCTTTACTCTCGTTTCCATTGCTCTCATCGGCGATCAGCGGTCGCGTCGAGTCACACTCGTCCGGGTGACTTGAGCTCCTGCGTCGCGGACGCGAGACCGCCTGCCGGATGCGGCGACTGGTCGGACCCGCCCGAGGACGCCGTCGACGACGACGACGGCGACAGTCCGGAAGACGCGGTGGTCAGTAAGACACCGGCCGATCCAGCGGCACCGCCGCCGCCGCCTCCTCCACCACCGCCGCTGCCGACGACGACGCCGCCACCGCCGACGACGCCGACGGCACCTCCGTTGATCGAGAAAGGTTTCACGTTACCGGCGACGGAGATCGCGGAGGACGAGGTCGTCAGTATGCTCGGAGCGGTGGATGGCGGCATCACGCCGCCCAGGCCACCTAGAGTCCTCGAGTAGGTCTCTAGCAGGGATATATCGCCGGTGCCGAGATGAGACGCACCGTACAGGTTTCGATAGAAGTCCGGGTGCGGTCGTACGAATTGCGTGCCCGGGTGTATCGCCGGGTGCAAAGAATGGTGTGTCGGCAATCGACTGGCCAGCGGATTCACAAGTTTACCTGCTCCTCCGCCGCCGCCGCCGCCGCCGCCTCCTCCTACTCCTCCACCGGTGGTCACGCTTCCGTAGGGCGTCGCCGCGAGATCCGTCATCGTGCTGGGATTCGTATTCGTCGTCTGGTCGCCGTCCTTGCTCGCCATGTCCGCGAGCGACCAGATCCGCGGCTTCGTGGTCACCGCGCTGCCCGTGGTGGACGCGCTCGTGCTCGGCGGTAGATGATGGTGTTGGCTACCCGGCGACGTACTCTCCGGCGACGGGTGACGCAACAGCCGGCCGTGATTCGGCGCGAGATAGGCCGGATGTTGCAGTTGCAACGGATGCCTCGGCTCCCTCTGGTCGTACAGGCATTCCGGACTGTCCGGGCCGCTGTCCGCTCGCGACTCGCTCCATTCGCTCTCGGTTCTACCTTGAACGCCCGCCGATCCGCCGCTGCTACTGTGCAGGAGGTCGAGGCGGTGCGCCGGCCGCTCGCCGTCCTCGCTGGAACCTGTACCTGAGTCTTTCGAATCTGAACCAAGAAGAAGTCGAGTCACGTGATCCGTTGGGTTAAAGCCCAAGTAATCGGCGCGTTTTCCGGGCGACGGTCACGAGGAATACGGAAAAAGATCAAATATGGTGCACGCGTAACCAGAAATATTTAGTCTCGTGAGCAGCATAGTTGCACCACCCTAATTATATTTGTGTGATGGTTGATACGACTCTCTCTGTTATTTTGGTACGTCAACTATACCGATGTAGTTACGCGTAATCTGGTTGTGGCAACTGTCAAAGATCGGTTGAAGCGATATTTACTATCGATACATGCTCCGGTTAGAGTAGCTAGATATCGTTAGTACTGCAACAGCAGCTCAGCCAGTTATTCAACGATTGCTCTGCGGTCGCGGCACAACTACACGATGAGTTGCTCGGTATTTTACCATTGAATCTGATTGGCATAACCAAATTTATGTGTGGGACAACTATACTGTATATTCTTTCCATATAATAACAATAATTATAATAATAATAAAATCATCTTTATTAATGAAAAGCTCTCTAGCATATACAAGATAAAATAAAATCGCAGGTAAACAAAGACAAACGTGTCTGGCGGACCAGAGATCGAAAACAAGTCGCATAGGAAATGGAAATATGTCGATAACGACGGCTGCATTATACGGTAGACCGACTGATCGAAAGCGCCGTGAGTGTGTATAAAATCGGAGATGGTCGAGAAACCGGACTCACCTAGCCGATCTTTCTCGTCGACGCTCTTCCTCCCGCTGTCGTCGTCCTCGTTATTATTATCCTCGTCTTCGACTCGGTTTCTCGGTTCCCACGTCATCTTATTCTCCTTTTTCAAACGCCTCCGCGCGTTCGCGAACCATGTCGACACTTGCGTTAACGTCATCTTGGTAATGATGGCCAGCATGATCTTTTCGCCCTTTGTGGGGTAGGGATTCTTCTTGTGCTCGTTCAGCCACGCTTTCAGCGTGCTCGTCGTTTCCCGCGTCGCGTTCTTTCGCCTCGCGCCGTTCAGATCCATGCCGTAGCTACAACAAGCCGAAAGAGCAAGAAAAATTACACACGACATCGTTCTCGCGTCCATCAATCGATCTGTCGTCTCGGTTATCACGTGGTGCAACCACGCAGCGATAATGCTTTCTCAGATGACCCAACCAACGTCGTATTAACGCAAGAGAGAGAGAGAGAGAGAGAGAGAGAGAGAGAGAGAGAGAGAGAGAGAAAAAAGAGAG